AAAGACATTTTGGATACGCGACCCAGAGAACCTGTCAAGCCACTACTCGGACGATGAAGCCCATACTTGGCATTATTAATCCTTAAGCCTGAAACCCTAGACTCCCTAAGCAGTGAACCATCTTAAAATCGCTGGAGGACACACAAAAAAAGTTTTCATCCCGGGAGATCCCACCTAAACCGTGAAACGCACTGACATTATTTGTCTAACATAACGAGAGCAACTATATAAAACCGCAGCTCCAGGTGATTCCTGTGATCTCTCGATCCACCTTAGACTGCGAGCGCCCATCGGAGCGCAGAGAGCGGCTCAATCTGGCAGCCGCGAGAAAGGAGGACATCTGTTAACGGATCTGAGAACTTTAGGAACTTTAGCAATTTTCGGTGAGAGCTGAACTTCTGCGGGTTCGGACATTCAGGCGATTGCACAAGTCCTGATGCAAAAAGGGTTTATAAGGCACTTCGGGGTTTAGGAGGACGGGAGGACATCTGGAAAGGAGTGCTTTGGGTTCTTCACAGGGTTTAACAGGCTTCTAGGGTTTAGGAGGACATGCTTTCAGGGGGTGTTTAGTATTTAGGGCTTCTATCAGGATTTATACGTCTTGTAAGGTTTAGGAAGACATATCTATTGGAACCTACCCCATCGTAGGTGTATTTCAAAAAGTGTATGTTTTGGTGCCGTTTTGGGCTCCTACTCCCGGGCACCGGTAAGTTACGAAATATTACATATGTCCAGGCATCTTTAGCGAGCCTCATAAAGACAGACAGACAGACAGACAGACACAGACAGACAAACAAATAGATATAGATAGATAGATAGATAGATAGATAGATAGGTAGATAGATAGATAGATAGACAGATACATAGATAGATAGAGCATGCAGTGGCATGCAATGGTATGCAAACATGTGTATGTATGTACAAGATATTTGAGCAGCACCTTATCTTCTTACTTGGTGCGGACAACTTCCAGACGAAGCTGCATGAGCAGTTGGCTGTGCTCTACACGGCCATGGCAGGGATCTTTTCAGGCATTTCGTTTACTCCTGGATATGGACCACAAGCCCCTGGAGAGAGTCTTTGCCAACTTCCAGGTTGCTTGCGCCGGCATGTCACCACATGTACGGAGGCAGTTGGGAGAATGTGGAAGTCGACCAGGTGGACATCGGGAAAAAGCAGGGACGGCACCATGGAAGGAACTTGCAACACAAAGCGGGAACAGCGGGGTGGCATCGTTCGGCGAGGTTATCCATCGTCCACTCACCTGTTCAAGCTGGATCCGAAGCTCACAAAAAAAACGGGCCCCGGGCCCAGGACCGGTCCGAAAGCGAAGAGCTCCTCCCCAACAGGGTGGTTTTGCATAGCGACGGGAGTACAAATTCAAGACCCTACAGGTGATCCACTCTTTCGTCGTCCACCAGCAAATCAGTGGCAAGCCCCCACCTCAATCACCAACATGTTGTTTGCACATGCCGGTTGCTCCAGACCAATTCCGTTCGGTTACCTTCTGCAAAGGTTCACAGGGTCAAGCTCCACTACACGAAGAGTGTACAAGGGCGAAGCTGCTGCACAGCAGCTTTCTCTGTGAAAAGCAGCAGCAAGATGGTGAACCCCTTTTGGGACACTTGCGTGGCTTCCTGAAGAGCACGCATCAGGCAACCAAACCCTCTCAAGAAAGGTCCGCTCAGCCCAGTCCGTGTACAGGTTTTGATACGTGGAAGCCAAGCCACCGGCACCATGCCTGATTTGGGAGTTTTCGAAAATATGGGGTACCTTATGTTGGGGTCCTTGTAATAAGGACCCTACTATTTTAGGGTTCCCTATTTTCGGAGACCTCCATTTCCTGGACAACAACAACCAGGCCAGCTCCCAGTTCTGCAGTCACCGATTTGGACTTCGACTCTCCAGCAGTAAGCTGAGAAAATATACTGTCCCTGAATGCTTGCCAAGCCCAATTTTCAGGCAGGGCACAAGAAAAACTTGAAGATTCTAGGATCTCCGAAATGCTGCTCCGTCCTTGAACAAAAGCCAAATTTTCGGGACATGATGACTGCACAGCACCCTCGATTACTTCTGAGCTTTGGAAAGCCGAAAGTGTTGTACAGTCACTAAACAACCCAAAGCCTTGTTTTCCAGAAACCTATAGCCTGGAGGGCATGAAGGTTGCCGGAGAGGGGGCAGGACAGCATGTTAGGACTCTTGAACCTTGTGCTGTCCCAAATTTTGTGGCTGCCAAGCCTAAGGGACAGTACAGCAAGCATTCAAATCTCGGCGCTGTTCCTTGAATTTTCCTCTACCATTAAAAAAGGTTGTACAGCGCTACGCGATTCTGGGAGTAGCAAAGCGCTGTACTGTCCGTAAATGTTGCCAATCCAAGTTGTAGAGAATGTTCGTGAGTATGCACAGCAATTTCTGCACATACAGTAGTCAGGTTCGCGACATCTCGTTATATGTTTGCCAGTGGATGGGGGGAAGGGGTGGTGACCGTGCGTGTTTATTCACGTATGCCAATGCATGCGTGCATGCATGTATATGTGTGTATGCATATGTGCGTGTATGTGTGTATGTATGTATGAATGTATGTATGTATGTATGTATGTATGTATGTATTATGTATGTCTAATTATGTATGTGTGCATGCCATGCCATGCCATGCCATGCATGCATGCATGCATAAGGGTGTGATCTATGTAGGTATCTAAGTTCTGTATTTGTGCAACTATGTATCTATGTATTTCCGTATGTGTGTATGTATGTAATATGTATGTATGTATGTATGTATGTATGTATGTATGTATGCATGTATGTATGTGTGTATGTATGTATGTACCTATGTATCTACGCATACATGCATGCATGCATGCATGCATGCAGGTAGGTAGGTATGTAAGTTATTATGTAGGCAGAACGCTTATGACGGCTCCAGTGGCTTTGAGTTGAGATGACAGATTGCCCATGATCCCGGGATTGGAGCGCACGGCACGGCAGTACGCTGCAGGGCTTCGAAGCATGCAGTGGCTGAAGTGCTTCTGCTGGGGGGTAAGTCTTGCGGGTCAATCTGTTCCCAGGAACTTCGCCAGCAGCGTGCTGCACAGCAGATTCAGGATGTCCTCGCCGATCGGTTCCACCAAAGGCCAGCTCCGACTTCGAGAAGTCAACAGAAATTTTAGCGACCTTCAGCCGGAAATCCTCGTCGCAGAGTGAACCGTAGAACCCACGGGGGATGCCAGGATGGACGGCATGTCATTTGGCGCACCTATCATACGACTAACATCCGCAGGGCATGCAGGACAGGCGGCTCAGTAACTTCACGGAGTTTGACGAAGCTAGCCTGGGCTCCTGCTTCGTGGAGGCCCTTGGCGAGCTCTGACGCACCTTCGGCCCAGCCTGTGCCGAGCTGGCAGGAGGCAGAGGGCCGGCTGGGATCGGAATGTGTATGTAGAAGCCAAATCACATGTTACAGCCTTCTACTTGTACCATGTCTGTTTCCGGACCCTGGCTGCCTGGCTGTTTGATGTTACCGGCTAGGCCAGATGTGAACCAAACGGGGTCTTCGTGTTGTTCCTGCTCTTCATTTGTTGTTGCAGCGACGACTGTACCACAACCTCCTCTAGACAGGTGCAGAGGCAGAGGATTTACTCACCACCCCGGTTGTGCTTGGGATACTTGCCGCAGCCTTGTAGTAGCAGTGGTAACTACTAGTCATCTGGTCATGGCTCAAAAGTTGTAGCAGCAGCAAGAGCTAAATGTCGGATTTCTCGAAGCCTATACGCTCGCCTTCAAGCTTGGTTGCAAGGCATCCGCCCAGAATAGCAGCAGCAATGCAACATTTCAGCCACAACCTTCACCAGAACTGTCAATGCCAACATACACTGATGAACCTTGATCGTCGGGAGCGGTCAGAGCTGTGATACCCGACACAGCAGAGGAGGTTTGTTGCTTCATCACCGTGGTTTGCATTGCAGAATCCATGAGTTCCGCACGGAAGCTAATGCAGGACTCCTGTCACGATCGCACATGCAGCTCCAGGCACGGCCAGAAACATATCTCGCGGGAAAGATTTCAGGACTGCAGAGAAAGCACAGATGTAACAAAGACTGTGCCGTCGCGCATTCTGAGACCGCAGGAGGCGACGGTACATAACGCAGAGAGCCAATGTCACAGAGACCTGTAAAGGCACCTGCTGGGTTTCTCGATAGGCCAAGCTGGGCAGTGCCCAAGCCTTCGCTACGAATGCCACGGTCGATGGAGGTTCGCCCCATTGGCCAGGCGGGGACTTTTTCAGTTCAGTTTCGAAGATCCTGCGGGTTCGATCCGTACGATTCGAACTCAACGAGTCCTTGAAGAGCCTCATGGAGTCACCTGAGAGGCCAGTGCTGCGCCATGGACGGTACCCAAGATCGTCCGGAGAAGCTCGACTGAGAGTTTGAGCTTTTGTTTGTTCAGAAGTTGGTGAGTGGGGTAGTCAGGGACAGTTGCTCCTGCGCTTCCGCATCCGCACCTGAGTACGAGGGCTAGCGTGTTAGATAGCTCCGCTGTAATTCCACTGTAAATAAGACGCTACCGGCGGCTCTATTAATTAACGTGATTGGCACTGGCACCTCTCAAAGACACCGTCGCCATCGGTACTATCTCAGCGCATCATGCATCCTCCATCGGAAAGTGGCAGGTTTGTAGATACGGTATAGCTGTATAGCACTTGTATAGGCATGGTGCCGAACTGAGTTTTTTAGCGAGAGATGCGCGTCGCGAAGCAAGTCAATACACAGTTAATATAGGGGCCTTAATAATTAGAATAGGGTTTGGTATATTGTATTATACTCATAATAAAGACGCCCCAAGACCCGATTCTAATTATTAAGGCCCCGTACATTACTCCTCAGTCGAACCCAGCTCTAGACCGTCCCAGGCCTTAACATTGCCTCTTTATGCTGAGATATCGGGAGGGCCACGACAAGTTATATCTTCATGACGGTATGACCAAGTCGTGTTCAACCTGATTAAGAATAGAACTCCAAGCCAAGCGGCCAAGCGCCAAACATTCGCTGCCACGTCTGACGGCTGAAGCCGTAAACGCTGCCCTAACCACAATTGCCCGCTTGTCCCAGTTTTGAGTGCTGAAAGCCGGTACTCGTTTCCTGCGCTGCTGTTCTCCAGATTGAGCCGAGCCTGCAAAGCCGGCCTCAGCTGCTGGGTCTTTTGTGTCACAAAGTCTTTTGTAGCCCATGGCTTCAGTCCGAGAGACGATGAAAGCACTGCAGATTGATGGGCTACTGCGATCGTGCCTCTGCTAAGCTGAGGGAGGTGGAGAAGCCTGTTGCAGATGCTACAGGGGTGGTGTGCAAGGTGGTCGCAACGTCAATAAATCCCCTCGACTGGCTTTTTCGAAACGGGGTCCTTGCGGACTTGATTCCTGTCCACTTCCCCCACATCATCGGATGGGATTTTTCCGGAGCGTCACAGATTTCAAAGTGGGTGACAAGGTGTACTGCCGGCCCGAAGTCACGAGGAATGGAAGTCACGCTGAGTACATCTTGGTTCCGGAAGACCACTTGGCCCACATGCCAAAAACGATCTCATTCTCAGACGCTGCGTCGGTTCCGATCGCGAGCATTACTGCCTGGCAAGCACTGTACGACTTAGGCGAGCTGACAGAGGGCGACAAAGTCCTCATCCACGCTGGTGCTGGAAGTCTTGGGGTTATGGCTATACAGCTGGCAAAGCTGAAGGGTGCTCATGTCATCGCGACAGCCTCCGCCGAGAAACACCCCTTTGTGAAATCCTTGGGTGCGTGTTGTGATTGACTACCGGACGACAGCCTTCGAAGAGGTACTCCGTGACCTGGATGTGGTGCTCGACACCGTAGGGGGGCAAACCCAGGCTCGGTCTTGGCAGACCCTGAAGCAAGGAGGGCGTCTGGTTGCAGTCAACGAGCCCATCAATGCGTCTAAAGCCGCCGAGTATCCGAAGATCATCGGCCGCTTCTTGTCCATCAAACCCAACAAGGAGATCCTAACGCAAATGTCTAAACTTCTGGACGAGGGGAAGATTCGGACCGTGGTAGGCTACGAGTTCCCTTTCCGAGACATTCAAGAGGCCTTTGCCTTGAGCGAGTCAAAGACAGCACAGGGAAAAATTGTAATTCAAGTAGGTCTTTAATGGGAGTACATGAGTTGTATGATAAGAGGAATAATCGAACCCTAATTGTGGAGAATGAAGTGGGAAGAAGGAAGAACCTAATGGAAACTGGGACGAGCTTGGTCTTCAATCTGCAGCTCCTTCCCGTTAACCCTAAACCCTAAACCCAAAAAAGAGTGCTGTGTTGGCATGTACAGCATGAGTCGCATAGCATCGCTCGCTGGAAGCGGAAGCAAGGCTGCGGCTTAGGGTCATGTGGCCCTAAGGCATGCAGCACTGTGTCCCATATAGCGCAGCCCCTTAGATTTCAATGCCTGGAAAGCGCCATGAAAAAAATGCCGAGTGCAGTAAGCAGGTTTATAATCCCCCAAATATGACGTTATACGTACATCCGGGATTTTTCGAAGTGTGGGCATTGCATTAGGCCCTCGAGTATCTGAGTAACTGTCATGGATATGACCAACCCTTGGGGAGGATTATTCTGAGACTTCGCAAGTCATGAGGCCTCAGTGGGCTTTTGGGGTCCCTTTGCATCCGTGGTAAAAGAGAGTCTGCGACATTGGGCACGAAACGAAGTCGGAGCACAACCATTGGTGACTTCATGCAGGTGGCTTTGTGTGACGAGGCATGTTTCGTGCGAGCGAAATGACGGCATCACACTAGGGTACATGGTGTCCAAGGCCTCGGTCAGGCTTTCCTAGTCTCTCAGTTGACCGTCTCGCCTGCGGGACTTAGCTCTTGCTTGAGCTTGCCATGCTTGTGCCAAAAGTAGAAACTCCTAACCGTCCTTACCCTCAAATTCGACTACAAGTACAAGCAAGTCCCAAAAAGCCTCAACCCGTCTGGCACCAATGTCAAACATGACCCGCTTGACACATGATGATGGTAGGTATTTACAATGGTACCATCAACCTCGCCTGGATGTGCCGAGAGCGAGTGGTCCAACACTGTAAGAAAGAAGCGTCCTAAGCAGTAGAGTAAGCAGCTTCTTGCATTGCTGGGGATACTATAAACCCGCCCAATTATGAATAGATAGATACATGCATATACATATATATATAAGTATATATATATATATATATATATATAGGTATATGTATGTGTATGTGTATATATATATACTTATACATACTCGAAGGTGAACGTCCTCTTAGGAAGCTGGGCAGCTGACTGCAGAACCCAGGAGCCGCTGCAGAGCCGGCGCCGACGCCAGAGAAGGCCGACTTGGAGGCACCCGGTCAGATTCTGCAAGATGTTGCCGTTTGAACGCATGAGTGCGTACGTCTATATGAATTTAGGTAGTATAGATATGTATGTATGTATGTATGTATGTATGTATGTATGTATGTATGTATGTATGTATATATATGTATGCATGTATGTATTTATGTGTATACGGACATGCAGACATGCAGACAGACACACAGACAGACACAGACAGACAGACAGATATGCGTAGCGCACATATATGCATGTACACGTTTTTAATACAGCCCTGCCTGACATGCTAAAACGAAACATTCGCTGTGAGTAACATAATAGATTCGGTACATTTCATCATGTGCGAAACCAAACACATGTTGGAAAACTGTACCTTTGGAAAGTAAACACCTGCTTGGTACTCCACAGGACGGGTCGCTGCTTGCACGACACGCGGGTTCGTTTCCTTCACACAAGGTTTGTAGGATTCTTAAGGTAGTTAGCAAGATTATTTATTCCCTTGTGGTCCCTACATATTGATACTGCAATATGCCCCAAAACCTTTTGTATTTGTTCAGCCCGGGGACCATGAAATGAGGCGATGTGTGCCCGTGGATTGAGGCTTGAGGGTTCAGGCGTTAGTTCGGGTTGAGGGGTTTAGAATAAGGGTGTGTAGAGTTTTCCAAACACCAGACCGGTTCTCCCATCCGGGAAGAGTCGCCTGAATCTTCCGGAGGCTGCGGCACCTGAGCCGTCACAGCCGTCCAAGCCACGGGCCAAGTTCGCCACCTGGACCCAGGAGGCAGAGGGAACCTGGATGAGGGTCAGGATCAAGATGGATCAGGATAATGGCGTTCCTGGCAACTGTTGACCATGACAAGGTGTGGCCGAGGGCCAGGATGGCCATGATCCGACGAGATGTTGATTGTCCGAGCAAGTAGACTGACTGTCGGTCGGGTCGTCTGAGGTGCAGTAGCAGCGAAACAACGTCCCATACAAGTGTAACATGTGTTCCTAAAGGAAGGCCCTGTGTTTCGATTCTCGTGCTGGGCCGAACCCTAGGCACAGGGACCGAAGCATGCTGATAAGTCATCAGCAACAGAAAGAACTTCGTGAATTGGATTTCTCAACCTCCCAGTGAGGGACCGTGCCTGTGCATGCGTTGCACAGTTTCATCCGCGCACGGCCCCAGACTCTACAGTAAACTTTGCTGATGAGCTGTGTTAGGCTTTTCGTGCCCACCCTAAAATCCCTAATCCAGGGTCTCCTTATTTTGGTATATTATGTTTTAAAGCCCTATTCCAAGTATTAATGCCCATGCGTTCCCTACATGAGGCCCCTTCTGAGCCGACCTTTCGCAGGTCAGTGGACGCGCCTTGGCCTCCGCCTCCACTGCGGCCTCCGCGCCCAAGGTGGCTCGACATTGCTCGATCGTGACTTCGGCAGGAGTTGAAATTGTCGTAGGTCGCAGGTTTCAGGCCAAGTCGCGTTGGGTAATCAGCTGCGCACCTCAGGCGCGCACTCCAGCCGATGCTGAGCCCACTGTCGACAAGCCCCATGCTTCCAGAGACTCGGCAAAAGCCTTGAGTCTGACGGGGCATTTCGGGGGAAGCTTTAGGAAGACAGGGGTGAGATGTCGAGCACCTGCTGTTGCCGAGGAGAGGAGGTGCAAAAGCTGAGTGCAGGCCGAGTGCTGCCACGATGTGAGCATTTCGGATCCCGGAACTATCGGCACGGCAAGTTGGACCACTTTGCGTCCGGAAGCTGTAAGGAGACCAAGGTAGTATCACTTGCGAGAACTTGAGGGATGAGATGCGAAAGTACGTTGAGGTCTGATATGCGCCAGCGCAGCCTGTGAACACACGTGTGGCCTGCACGTTCATGCCTGCATCACAGAGGCCATAGGCCATAGGCAGGGCAACGGAGTGAGACAGAGAGGGCTGAGCGAGAGAGAGACAGAGAGAGAGAGCGAGAAAGAAAGAACACGGCCGCGCGAACTCGCGTGGGGGAGCGTGCTCATGGGTGCGTTCTCCTATGGCCGTCAGCAAGCAAACAAGCGCGAGCCGGAGGAAACGGATGGACATAGGGTTTGGATCTGTTGTTGCACTTGGGTCCCTCTCGTCGAGAGGTTTGGGTCGTAACAAGCTGCAGCCCGTGTGGGAAGCAGTACAGCGAAGGGGTTCACTGAGGGCAAAGTGTCCTTGAAGCCCCGCAGAAGGGAAAACGAGAGTCGTTCCTGCGGATGGTGCGATGGGCACAAACGAGCACGCAGACATGAAGACATGCCCATGTATGATTTCGTCTACTTTACACTGCAATCCCGGCAAGAGTGTCTCCTTTCTGTACTGCGACGGACTGCAGGTTGGAGGGTGGGATTCGGTCCATTGCAGCTGCAGAGAGTCCTCATGTGCGGCAGGGCAGGCCGAGCTCGAAAATATGCCCGATCAACTTCGCAGAGATCGAGCTCCTCGGAAGTTGAAATGCACGGAGCTTCTAGATGGAGGAAAGGAGACTGTAGAGTGAATTGAAACAAACTTTGAGTGCTTTTTGTTTGATGCCAAGGATGCAGTGGTGGCTGCAGTTCGAAATGACGGGCATGCCCTTCAGCACGCCAGCGAGGCCAAAAGCGGGAGAGTCTTTACAGCTCCACGGCCTTGTCAAGAAATGTGCAGAGGTGTACGCTCCTGTCAGGACCTTCGTGCTGATCGCCATGTTGTCCTCCTGGCAGTGGAGGAATGTGGGAACTGGAGTTCTCCTGAAGCCAATGCTCATACATCTTGTAGTGAATCGAGATTTAGGGCAAGAGCAGGTACCAGCAGTCGCAGACCGACTTGCCTCATGGTGTCGCTCACAAGTTCCTACCTTTCTGGGCGGAGAGACTCGCAAAAGCAGAGACCCTGAGCCCAAGCAAATTTCTTCTTCCTGTTACTTGAGCCTCACAGCAGTAAGGAAGATACCTCAAATCATTGTGTTAGGGCCCCTATAAGCGTTATAATTTAAGTTATGTTCCTTAATTAAGGGGGTAGTGGGTTTTTTGGGGAATGCAAGCGATCAGGAGAACGGCCTGGCACTGCGGCATGCTGCGCAGGCAGCCACACCGCACGGTCCAACCTGCATTCCTTTCCCGCTAGTTCCATGGAGAAAGACCAAAGCGCGAGGAGATGAAGTTGATACTTGTAAATAGAGGGGGGGGCTAAATCATTACCACTACTCTTCTGGAATTTTCTGGGTTTCTTATTATGCTTATAGCAAGATATACCACACAACCTTATTCTAATTGTCTGATTGTTATGGCCCCTCTATTCCGCTGATTCGTGGGATCTGGGTAGCTCTGCTGTAGTGGATCTCTCGCACTCGCACGTCGAAACGCCTACAAGGAAGCGGTATGAGTTTACCGATCCCTAGGCGTGAAAGAACTGCTCGAGCCGTTACGACCGTTACGAACGAAGCACCTCCATTGACAGACTCCTTGGCCTCTGAAGGCGTTGTGCAGCGACCCGGACATTGTCCTCGCCGCAATTCGTCAGAACGGCCTGGCCCTGCAGCGACCCGGCTGGTTTACAAGGCTCCAGGGAGAAACTAGATTGGGCCTGTCAAGCTTTGCATTGCCAAACATGTCTCCGGTGGGTTGCTGGGGTGTTTGAAACATTTCGGAGTTCTTGACCAGATAGTTTTGATTCTATTGTATCCGCTTGGCCAGTGAGCGGGACACAGAGCAGTGGAACAGCTGCGGCGACCTTAATCAAGAGCTAGCGCGGCAAGCTCTTATCATACACAGGCGGCATGCGTGTGTCAACCTGCAGCTGTCTGAGCCATTTGCCTGGTCAAACCACGTTTTGAGACCACCTTCAGCCCTGAAGCTATGGAGGGAACTCCAAGCCTCGATGCATCTCGGAGCAACCCAGACCTTTGGGAAGATGAGTCTTTGCTGGATTGGGGTTGGATTTCCTGTGGTTTACATAGTGTTTCTCTCGAGGGTGTCAGCCAACATGCGCTGCTGAGGACGGAGCTTCGTCCGTGTACTCTGAGGCGGAGGTCATGGACGAGTCAATGTGCATTCGCAGCAGGGAAGATCCGTATGTCCCGTACGAGTCTTACACACCCGAGACGGATGACTACGACATGCTCACCGCACCTTTGCTTCCAGCAAGGCAATCCCCAGAGGAACTCGAAAGCAAGCAGAAGTCGGCTCTTCGAAGCCGGATTGCCAGAGGTGGGAGCTTGTCCGTCATGACGCACTACCGAAACGTCTTGGCCAAGATGGAGGGCACCAACGTCGAACACCATGCCAGTGTTCCGTCCGTTTTCAAGATCGCCGAGACCAATCGTGTACGCCTTCCATCAAGTGACAGTCTGTCCACAGCCATCGCCAGCTGGGATACCGAATCCGACTGCTCCACGCCAGGATCGGTCACCATGCCACTGGATCATATTCGGGACCTGTGTGGCCTTGGGGACGATAGCTGTTTAAGGGTCGAACGGGCTAATAAAAGACCGTTAATATGCTATTGAAGACACTCAAATATACGATCAATATACGATACAAGGACACCAAACATAGATCCTTTGTGGAAACTCAACCCTGAACCCCTACACCCTAAACCGGGAGCTAAGGACAGGAGTCGCTTTCTCCGTGATGCCCTTCTTGACATCGGAGTTGCTGTGCTGGAAGGGCACCTCATGGACCACAGCCTTCCCCTATTCCCCCTATGCAGGGTTTCAGTTGCAGCAGTTTGCTGGTCTCTCAACCCACCCGGCAGGCTCTAGACCGATGGTTTCAATGAGCATGTGCGACAAATCCTGCTGGCGAGGGGACTACGGCTGCTTCTAGAGCAGTCGGGAGCTTCTCCTGCTAACCAGCCGGGTACACACAAGCGCCCACAATAACACAGAGTGTGTTATGTCGCAGAGGCGATGGGGTCGCTTGTTTATGATTCTGACTGCTTCTCGGGACCGCTTAGCGGGACCATTTAACGGGATTCAGGTCGCTGCGCTCGTGGAGCGACATGAGCATTCAGGATCATCAGCCTCAATGCTGGTAAATGTGAAGAGGGAAGGAGAGTTCAGTAAAAAGTACCGTCTCCCAAAGGCGAGAACTAGAACAACAACGAAAGCTTTGATTTCCGGGCTTATGGGAGCAGGTCTCATGCTTCATGAAAGCAAGAAACCAAAGCAGAAAGAAGCAGAGAGAGAGAGAGAGAGAGTTCAGATGCAGACTCAACGACCAGATAAAGACTGGAGCGAATAGAGCAACTGACAAAGCGGGAAAGAGGCAACAAACGGCGCAGACAGGGAGAGGGAGACCGTTCCAAACACACAATAAATAAGCCACGGAGGCAAGCAGAAAGCGCACACAGACTCAGAAGCACTTGATGCAATCCTGCAATCCCTGCTGACGAAGACTGGTAATGGTAGCTGCTTGGCTTTTCGACTTCTGCTTGAACCTTTCCTGTATTCCCTCAGAGATTGAGTGGATCCTTGATAAAGTTGCCAAGCCGCTTTACGAAAGAAGCAGTTAGACTGCTTCCATGAGCTCTGAACCATTGGGGCAGACCAAGGCCGCACTTAATTACAAGCTGTTCATCGATTCTAACTAGCTAAAGTTTGCACGTGTTTCTGACCTAGTATATACCACAGCACCGATCGCAGAAGAGCTGCTGGCAGATACAGATTCAGTAGAACCCGAAATTCCCAACCCTGAAAATGCGGGTTTGTCCTTGTAAAATAAGAAAAGACAAAACCTTAAGCCCCAAACCGAAACCGTAGACTTTGGAGCCACTTCGAGTGAAACAACCGAAACCTTGGCTTCGCTGAAGGGCTCAGAGCGGCTGCTGAAAATGAGCGGCCAAAGGCCCTCACAGCTTCCATCCATGGGCGTCCTAGAAAAGCTGTTGGGGTTCAGGGCGATTGAGTGCCCTGGCCAGAGAGAGAGGCGGCTTAGGCCCAGACAAAGCGGGTTCTACAGACGTGACAAGGAAGTTTAGGGGCCGAACCCTAGAGCTTTCTTGGACGCTGTGGTCTCCTGTTCCGCTGCTGGATACTGGAGATATGATCTCCTAGGGTTCCATCGCGCCAGGAAAGGCTTCAAAGCTGACCGCAGGGTCCTGCAAGCTTACTGTGGGGTTTAGGGATCGCAGCGGTGACGCTAGTGAATAGAGGCCCCATGGCAGCGAGAAGTGTGGCGAGCACTAGTATCGTTAACACGGATGCTTGTACGCTGGATCTCGGCGGCGCTTCTACCATCGCCTTCCTGTACGCAAGCTCCAGACCCTAAGAGTTGGGAGAGCATAATATATAGTTCGATGATCGATGTTTCGGTTAGCTGAGCAGTTGGTCCAGTTTTCCTGCAAGCCAAGTGTGCCTACTGACGAGCTCAGCACTCGATGGACTTGGGTCCATCATGCAAACTCCAGCAGTTTTAAAATTGCAACGAAGTATCAGTAGCAGGCCGAATATTTCAAGATGTACTACTGCTGTGGTGTTGGGCTTGCGCAGGCGCTTGTGCTTCAACTCTTCGAGCCGGTGCTCAGCAGAGTTCGGCACACCTGACACACGATCTCAAAGAGCCACGAACAATCTTAATCCGGTGTATCTTATGCTGTAATCATTGCAGGGACGATACTGGGATACTAGTGCGAGTTATTCTGACCCCCAGAGTAGGCACAATTTCAGCTTGCTTATCTCCTTCCCTTCTCACAGGAAGTGATGTTATGTGGAGCTACTTATGGGACCTGTGGGACTCGTGTTCAGCCAGTGCCCCATACAGACGTTCACTTCCCGGATTTGCCTCGCAAGCGAAGGCGAGTCACGCGAGTTTCGACCCCTTGGCAAAGTCAAGGTGGTAATGACCTTCGGTTTGGGCGGTTTTGGTTTCAGGCTTCTCGCTTCGTGATAGTTTATGCTTTGCTGAATCCTCGATTGCAGTGGTTTTTGCTGTGCAGGTCGGTTCCGTCACGTTGCAGCCTCCATTCGGGACACGGTCTCGAGAGCTGCGCTGCAACTTCCGTTCAAGATAACCCCTGTGTTCCCTAAACCCTCAACCCCCTAAAGCCCTACACCCCAAACGCAGTTTGGACAACGACATACCCGGGTCACGCTGCCCTGGTTTTGGTGGCCAAAACGACGGAACGTCGTTGGTTGCGGACTTGGGCTGTGCTGTTGCAGGGTTCTTCTGGGGCATGATGGTAACAATGACTTCAGTTTAATTCAATTGAACGCTGCGCGAGCCCGCGAGCGGGCTCCACCCATGACACGCGTACTACCGACAGCGACAACAACAACAACAACAGCCATAGTTACATAGTTATTGGTATAGTAATAGTAATCAGTAATAGTAGCAAGAATGCACTAGTAATCGAGATAACAGCGACAGTAGTCGTAATAGTACTAGTATAATAATTACTGGAACTACTCGAATAAGGTTTTTGTGCCAGTACTATCAGTGCGATAGTCGAAAATTCGATTCTGAAACCCATTTCGGGTTCGGGCAAGCTCGCAGGACGGCGAACACGAGTTGTGTCTTGAGGGAATGTTGGGCGAAGCTTGACGGGTCTTTATACTGTACTACATAATGTAGAAGCCGTAAGAATTACCAATGTTATTCCTTAGGGCTCCTTTTCTGCCATAGTATATCAAACCACAAAACCCTATTCTAATTATCAAGGTCGCTATAATATGCACGTCTGGTGCCGGGATATTGATGTAGAAGAACCCTCACATGTGACGTTTGCGTCAATGAACTCCAGCGGTGGCTAGGGGGTGCTGGGCTTGCTCAGAGATCCCCTGAAAGCCATCGCCCGCGTTTTCGTCGATTCCGATTCCGAGGAATACTCGGGGTCTCACCTGAAGGCCCCAGCTTTGGCCTCGTGGGTCCTGGGCCGTCGGATGCACCCACCCTGAACTCAAAACTGTTAGGGTTTAGGGTTTAGAGGTTGATGCATGCTTCTTGCCTAGTGCGAGCCCAGAACTTGCTGAAGCCAGCTGGCACCCAGAAAGACGCGGCCGCGGCCCGGTGACCGAGAACAAAAGGTCCGACAGCCGGAAGGACCCGACTTCGGGGTTGATAGACTATGCAAATGGGGCCCGAATAAAACCCTAGAAGACATAAAACAGTAAGACCTTATCCCGAAGTAAGGTATCTCTAGTACCGGCGTATCTCGAGTTGTGTTCTACGGGCCTTCTGAAACACAGCCCAAGCCTAAACTCTAAGGTTGGAAGTATGCCTAACATGGACCCCTAGGCTTTTCTAGGGACCCTTAAGGCCCATACTAGGGGCCCATGATTTCAACCTTAGAGAAACCCTAAAACCCTGAAGCCCTAGGCACGCGGCAGCGGAGTTGAGGGGGCGCTCGGGCCTGGCCCTCGAGGCTTTGGCTTCCAACCCTCAGGCAAAGCTGGGGGGCGGGGGGGAGGGGGGGGTGGTTAGGGTTGAGGGGCATCTCTAGCGGTTTGAATACTTCGAAAGAATCTCCCTGTGCAGCGCCGGCAGAAATAGGATTATATTTTATATCAAGCAAGACGAATAAACAAATATAAACACATGTATATTTTTACATATATATATATACATACGTATGTATGTATGTATGTATGTATGTATGTATGTATGTATGTATGTATGTATGTATATATGTATGTATGTATATATATATATATATGTATGTATATACAGATTTT